GCTTGAATTCTGTTTGGAAACGTACTGGCAGCCAATGAAGGGAAAATAGAACTGGTGTGATTTGCTCTCGTTTTCGAGTGCCTGTCAGCATCCTTGCTGCTGCATTTTGGACTGCCTGCAAACGTGACAACGCTTTCTGGCTGTGACGAGTGGGGGCGGGGCCGAGAGCCGTGGGAACGGAGCGAGGCCGGTGGAGTAATTGATAATGAGCGACACCTGCACCACTCACCGGTCTCGAGTCCCACGGAGGAGCTCCGGAAGGATAAAAAGGAGGAGTGACGACAGTGAAAGACGAGAGAGGACCAGGCCTGGACTTTATTTTGTGTTTTGGTTTTGTTTGTGCGCGACAGTCGTCCGCGAGGGGCTGTCGCACTGTTTTGTGTTTATTTTATTATTAAAGTTTCCTTTGAATGTTCGCCGGTTCCCGCCTCCTTCTTCCCGAACTACGAACTTTGCTACATTGGTGCCGAAACCCGGGAGGAAGGAGGGGCACGCTGCCAGAGATCCCTCGCCGCTGTGGTGAGACCGCGGTGCCATCGAGCATGGCGCCATGGAGGCTCGAGGCGGTGGGCAGGAGTGAGTTGCCGGCGGGGCGGACGAACTCGCTGCCGGCCGCCTGGGATGTGGAGGGACGGCTGCCGTCCGTAAGGGAGCGGAGGAGTCACCGCTGTTCGCCTGAGGCCGGAGCCTGCTGCCATCCGCCATGATGGGGAGGAGCAGGGAACGGGGGACTCCTGCCAGCTGCCCGAACCCGGAGGAGCCGTCGCCGTCCATGGATGACTTTCTCAAGGTCTTTAAAAGAGAGAAATATCTTTACCTTAGCCAAAAGTCTAAAGTGGAAAAAGCTGGATTTAACGACACCATTAATTTGCATATCAAATTTGAAATCTTTATCAAATAAAACACCCAGATTTTTCACCACCATCTTATTATACGAGGCCAAAGGGCCAAGGTTAACAGTCTCACTTGGCCCAAAAATAATAATCTCTGTTTTGTTTTCATTTAGTTTAAAAAAATTTAAATTCATCCAGCCTTTTATATAATTTAAACATTCTAAAATAGGAGTTAGAAAATTCTTGTTATTTTGTTTTAATGGTAGATATATCTGCGTGTCGTCTGCATAACTGATATTATGCTTCTTAAAAATAGACCCCAAAGGGAGCATATATAAAGAAAAAGTAATGAGGCAAGAATGGACCCTTGAGGGACGCCACAGGTGAGAGGAGCTGAGGTAGATAAAAATTCACCAACATTAACTGCAAAGCTTCTATTTGATAAATACCACTTAAAACATTGAAGAGCCACTCCTTGAATTCCTGCATATTGCTCAAGACGAGAAACCAAGGTAGTGTGGTCAACAGTATCAAACGCCACACTAAGATCTAATAAAACTAGGATTGCAGAGGCTCCAGAGTCAACAGTTAATAAAATATCATTATAGACTTTTAAGAGTGCCGATTCTGTACTGTGTTTTGCTCTAAAACCTGATTGGAAAATCTCGAGTACTGAATTTTTCTCTAAAAAGGGCTGTAATTGAGTGAAAACTACTTTCTCCAACACTTTTGAAAAAAAGGGACGTTTCGAAATCGGTCTAAAATTTGAACAAACTGTTGGATCCAAATGAGCTTTTTTGATAAGAGGCTGCACTATTGCATGTTTAAGATAGACAGGAGCAGAGCCTGAAACCAAGCAACAATTTATTATTGCCATGACACTCGGACCAATAACACTAAAAGTTTGTTTAAAAATGCGAGTAGGGATAATATCTTGATGGCAAATTGTAGGCTTCAAATGTTCAACGATCTCCCCCACGATTGCAAAAGATACAGGCTCAAACTGATTAAAAACAGCAGAGCATGTAGGTGGGGCTGATGGATCATAATCCGGTAGTTGGATAGATGATCTAGTATCTTCAATCTTCTCAATAAAATATTTAAGAACATTTTCACAAGTTTGTAAAGAGGCATCAAAACAATCAGAAGCAGGAGGATTAATAACAGAATTTAATGTATTAAACAAAACTCTAGGTTTGTACCAATTTTTTTCAATAACATCAGATAAATAATTTGCCCTTGCCGTATTTAAAAACTTCTGATAATATAATAACTTCTGATAATATAAAATAACAGGCCTGGTCCTCTCTCGTCCAACACTGTCGTCACTCCTCCTTTTATCCTTCCGGAGCTCCTCCGTGGGATTCGAGACCGGTGAGTGTATATATTCAAAGATATTTTAGGACTATTCTGGAGAAAATTAGCTTGCTGGGGAAAGACTTAAAAAATACAAAGTAAGCACACGACTGACGTAACGTCTCCGTTCCCTCCTTCAGGGAACGAGGGTTACACAAGTAACCGAGACGTACTTCATATTTGTTCGAGAATACTTAATGAATGTACTTCCTTAAAATCCACCTCTGATTATTTTGAAAATGAAAGTATCAAAATTTTGTCAGAATATTAACACATTTTTGCTAACTATATCAAAGGCTGCATCTGAAGGACTCGGACCGGTCATACAGAACGCTATTTTATTTTAATTTTTTTCCCACAGTTTTATGTTTATGGTTAACTGCCTAGAAAATCCGGGTTGCAAACCTGTTTACATGAGATCACCATGGTCAAGACAATAAACTATATAAAATCGCACCTTTGTAAGATATCAGTCAGCATTTGAATTGCTATGTGTGTGTGTGTATTTGGTAGTTTTTCATATGTATCATTACATTATTCAAGTAAGCTCCAAGCCAATTCCTGCATTTAAAGTTGTAATCCGACAAAGGATGCTGCAAACCAGTGTAACTTACCTGGCCTCTCTGTCTTGGCTAAGCCTGAGGTACATCACCGTCTCCTCCATTATGACGTAAAACATAAAAACAAAAATGAGCAATTCTGGCTCCACCTATCCTGGCAGGATTGTTCTCTCATCAGCTCTCCTCTCACACTGTTGCTATGTGATAGAGCGCTAATCGGGAACCTCTGGTGTCGCAATTAGGAAATCCGGTGAAGGCGGAGCGTCCTTCATGCACTTCGGAGCGTCCTTCGTGCACTTCAGAGGCCTGGCCTTTGAAGTCTGTGGCCTTCGAAGTGTGCACACTCAACTTTGGGACACAACTATAGTATTCAAAAAAAGAGTAGGTGAAAAGTACCCAGATGACCTCTGCCGCCTGGATTCTAAAGTGCGCAAGATGGACACTTTACTATCCCATGAGGCCATGGGAGAGGATTTATGAATAGCAGTGAAGCGACACAACTGACGCAGGAAGTTCATGTGACAGTAACACTATTGCGGATATAGTATATCCAAATGTTCTTTCATGCTACCCATATTCATACTATATAGAACATACTTTTTTAACGGTCATGAAGTAAATTCAAATTCAAATGTAGTATGTACTTATTATGTGATTTCAGACACAATATGTCACCTCCCCCTGAATTTCACTTGCCCTGTATATCTAAAAGCGATAGTTCACCCAAAAATGTAAATTCTGTCATCATGTACTACTCACCCTTCGCTTATTCCAAACCTGTATGAATTTATGTTAGCTGTTCGACAGAAATAAGATATTTTGATGGTAGCCATTGACTTCCATAGTATGAAAAAAGTTACTATAGATGTCAATGGTTACCGTCAACTGTTTTGTTACCAACATTCTTAAAAATATCGTTGTGTTCAGCAGTAGAAAGAAACTCATACGTTTGGAAAGTGGAGGGTGACTAAATTAATTTTCATTTTTGGGTGAACTGTACCTTTAACCACAGTCAGGTCTGTGCAGTGCAGCAGCCAGTTGCATACCAACACGAATGACCTACAACGACATGCAAAAAAATCGCTGACCTAATCCAAGAATGTCCATTATGTGTCTAGCATGAAATGGACCGAAAATAAATAAATAAATAAAAGATTTGCTATGAACTGCAGCAGGTGGTAAACAAACTGCCTATAGACCAGTAGGTGTCAAAGGCCTCAACAAGCAGTGATGCTATTGGTACGAATAAGAGTCAGCTAAGCAGAAGAAAAAGGCTGTGTTCAAAATCGCCCCATACACTCATTCACTATTCCCTACATTAGTCCACTGATATAGTCCAGTTGAAGGAGTGAATGAAAATGAGTGAGCGAATTCAGACACTGAGTTGCTGTTTAATAATCATTCAATACTTAGCAAATTGGCAGATCCAGTAATGAAAAGATTTATCTTGAACTCTGTTGTGGAAACTAGCATGTATTCATTTGGCACGACCCTCATAGTGTATTATGGGAATTCTCTAGCCGTTGAGTGTACATTGGTTGTACAAAGTGCACTCGATGGTTTCAGACACCAGTACAAATGGCTGTCCCCTCAAACTGTGCCCTATAGGGGGCGATTTCAGACACAATCATTATGTAAGTGTACCTTTGATATGAAATTTTTTCATTTACATTTTTATCATGTAGATTCAACTTATTTTTCAACTGTTCTTTATTTACGGTATTTATTTATTTAGCTTTTTTAAGTGAAACTGCAAAATCCTTTTCAAAACCTGACTTTAGTGCATTCACAAGAGGGCAGCAGCGCACAATTCCTATTTCATCAGACAGACTTAAGAAATACATTGAAGCCGCTACTTTAATTTCCGTCTGTATGCAAATGACATACTTGAAAAAGAAAATGAATTTGTTCACCTAATTTTGTGTTTGATTGATTTACCAAAGTTTGCAGAACCCACTTTCCTATATTATTTCAGTTTTTAGAAACTGAAAAAAAGCTTCAACTGAACAGTGGTCGTACTTGACCATATATTGTTATTGAAGAGTAACTTGTTTGACAAGACCTTATGCTAATAAGCAGCAGCAAGTAGACTCCAAGTAAAAACTAGGCTACATGAAATATTTGGAGTCGTAAAGAACGTAACCTATAATATTATAGGACAAAACAGTTCAAGTGCATGTTTGCAGGCATCCCATCATCACTTATTAAAGTGAGGCACGCCTACAGCGGGAGCTCTAACACAGTTCATTCTCACATAGCCTACCTACTACAGCGCACTTTACAGCGCTGTGACTGTGACACAATGCGCTTCAATTTCTGGCGGATTTTACGAGGAGTGACGGTGGAATAAGAGGAAATCATACCAATGCTATCGTAGGAGCTGACCGAATACCCTTCACTTCTTTCCCAGGATTTCTTTTCTGTTTAACCCTTATTCACAATGCTTTACTTTCAGTTGGTGATCATGGCAGGGACTGTCATGCTGGCATACTACTTTGAGTACACCGATACTTTCAACGTGCACATCCAGGGATTTTTCTGTCATGACAATGCCTATACGAAGCCCTATCTCGGACCAGAGGAGTCCAGTGCGATCCCACCAGCCATCCTGTACGCGGTGGTCACAGGGGTCCCCGCACTCGTGGTGAGTGTGTATAGAAGCTTAAAGGTTTAGAATAAGCAGTGCATGGATGTCGTGGTTCTAGGGAAGATCTTTATTTATATAATAGCATCATGTTAATCATCTTGTGAATTGTAGAGATTGTACTTTTGGATAGAATCTCATAGTCAGCCTGCCTGCAAAGTTAGGATAACAATAATTTAAAGAAATAATTATGAACAGAAGAATGTGGCATCTGGATTTAGATATTTTTAAAACGTTCAGTTTACAGAATGGAAAATGCTTAACACATCTATTGTGTATATTTGGTTATGTATATTATATTGCAAATGAATTATCCAGTGAGTTTTCAAACAACAGTGTATTTTGCACTTTTCATGGGTCAATATATACATTTTGGGGTGGGGGTCATTACTCATTAAGATTATTTTTTTTAAAGAAATGAATACTTTTATTCAGCAAGGATGCATTAATTTGATCAAAGGTGTCAGTAAACACATTTATAATGTTACAAAAAGTTTATTTTAATTAGACACTCTTCCTTTGAATTTAATCATCAAGAATCCTGAAAACGAAAAATAATCACAGTTTCTACAAAAATATTATAATCCCCACAACCATTTCTCAGCATTCAACAAATCAGCATTTTAGAATGATTTCTGAAGGATCATGTGACTGAAGACTGAAATAGTGACTGCTGAAAATTCAGCTTTGCCATCAATAAATTACATTTTAAAGTATATTAAAATAGTTCTTTTAAATTGTAATAATATTTCACAATCAGGGGCGGATTTAGTGATTTGGGGGCCCCAGGCAAAATATAGGAATGGGTCCCTATACATTTGCACACATTTACCTAGATCAACCTTTAGGTTCCTTTTTTTGTTGTGATGCTTGCTGCTGCGCAATGGTGCCCCCTAGTGTTGTGTCCAGTGTGTCTACAATTTTCATGTACATGTTATAATGGCTTTCTTTCATGTTGTAGACCATGAAATAGCAACTGATTTACAGTTGAGATACAGGTTTTCACAAAAACAAAATAAATTATAAAATGATAAATCTCACAATTGAGCCTTTAAACCATTTTTTTAAGAAAAGGGATTAGTCAGAAGTATAAATTATTATTAATTTAAAACGGGGTGGATTTTCATTTTCGCATTGGTCTGAATAAAAACTGCAGACGGGATTATTGAAAATGCACATTCATAAGCCGTGCCTATGCACATGTGCCTGCACTCTGCGCAAGTGCCTCCCCACTCTCCAAAGGCTGTCTAATTCTAAACTTTAAAATACATTTATCTGTAGTTATTTTAACTACAAATTTAAATGAAACTGAAAAAATAATGAATACCTATAATAATAATAATAAATAAAAATAATAATATAATAATGTGTAATGAATTTACACACCTTAGGATTATATCAACCAAAAAAGTAACTATGCATCCTCTACTTGGGTCCTTCTCATTAATGAGTAAGCAGCATTTAAAAAATAAACATATAATATGCACTGTTTCTCAATATTTAATTACAGGTTCAGATGCATGATATTTTAATTTCCTTCAAGCAGGATACACAAGAAGCACGTTCAACGTGGACAACGGCTGTCGTAGTAATAAACTCCGTAAACAGCAACCATTTGCTTGCCCGCACTTAATGCACATCTTGTATATGAAAAGCATTTTAGGGGGCCCTTGGCTTTTGTAGGCAAGTCCGCCTCTGTTGACAGTATTACTGTTTTACTGTATTTTTGGTCCAAAAATGCAGCCTTGGTGAGCATAAGAGATGTCTCTCAAAAACATAAAAGAAAATAAAAAAAATACAGACCCCAGACTTTTGAATGACAGTGTCCTCAGATGCAAAAATAGAAATCAAACGAAACAGTTGTTGACACTCAGTAAGAGTATAGATATAAAAATAACAGCATAGTTCAAGAGGTGTTGGTTTTTATGAGAAATGTTCATGATGAAATCTTTAACTTTAATTTAAGGAGAGTTTGTTACATTGTTGAGGTCGCTTCTAAAACTCTAAAGGTGACACAAGAATACCTTGTATGAAGATTAAACTTAAGCAATAAGTAAGTAATTCTAATTTAATATCTAATTTTCTATTCAATATAATTGCAGTGTAGAAGAAACGAAGAAATTAGATATGAAAGATTTGAAAAGCTTGCATCTGCAGGGCGCCATTAGTTAGTGTTTGCTAGGTTGGCCACTGTGAATGTTGGGATCTGTCTTTGAGAAGTCACTTTTGGCTCTAGACTCTAGCTTTCTGTGCCTACAGTATATTAAAAGAGAATTTATGATGAGCAAGATATTGGCAGCTCCGAGGATCAATTAAAGAGCACCAGGATCACCACAGAGCCTCCCTGCTCTCATCTCTCATAAGAATTCCAGTGGATTTGCTCAATCGATCTGAAAACACTCTTCTTGGCCTTATATTAAGGCCACACAAATTCGCCCCCCAAACGACTATTATTATCACCCATTTGCTGAAAGCATCACTTCTGAGCTAAGTGTGGAGTGAAAACTTCGATCTGGCCTCAAGCGTGCTCTGTGGTGGACAGTAAAGGTCAGCTATCAGCTCGACGGGTTCTTAAAGTGCAAGGCTTATACAGTGTGAGTCCCAAATATTGCTGGCATGCTGAACTTGGGCATTTCTGACAAGGCAACTGATAAGTTTACAAAATCTGAGTTAAACTGACTTTCTTCTGTGGAACACAAATGAAGAAATTCTGCAGAAAGTGTTAGTCATTTTTTCATGCAGTTATAATTAATGTTGACTGAAGATTTTATGTTTCAAATACAATACTGCCATATAAGTGTCATAAAAGTAAATGACTCGTGTCCTGCATTACAACTTTTCTGAATTTATATGATAGCTTTGTGTGAGGAACAAACTGAAATTAAAATTGTTATAACCTTTCCATTCAAGTGAGCTGTTATAATTTTGAGATAAAAAGCAGAAATTATGCCATATTAAGTCATAATTATGAGATGAGAAGTCATAATTATGACAATTTAATGATAAATTTAAACTTTTATGCTTATACATTTTGTATCAGAATTTTGAGTTTTTCATAACTATGATTTTTTACCTCATAATTGTGACTTTTTTGTTATAATTATTAATTTGTCATAATTTATTTTTATCTAATAATTTTGATTTGTTTTATGTCATAATTATGATTTATCAAAGCATGATTTTGTTTTATCTTATGTGGTGTAAATGGGATTTCATAGATTTTGTTTTGTTCATCACATAAAGCTATATGGCTTCATAAGACAACATTGCATCCTTTTGAAGCTGCTAGTTATCATGATTGGATGGAAAAAATTACCAATGTTCTTCAAAATGTATTTTTTCATGTTTGATGGAAGAAAAAAAGTAATATGAATTTGGAATAACATAATTTTTAATTGTGAGAAGGGGCCATTCACACAGAAAACACGAGAGGTGGGCAATGGAATGGAGGAAAAAACAACACCTCAAGCCATGTTCTTTTAAAAGTTTAACTTCTTTTAACTTTTCAAACTTTTTTAACTTAAGTGACACGATTTTATAGTGCTGTGTCATGCGTGAGACACTGTAAAAGACACGAGACGCAAGTGCAACAAGTCAAAGATGTCAAACTAGTGCATGTTTATAAAACAATGGAAAAGTAGTGCAGTAGAATGGATAAACATATTCTGTGTGAACGGCCCCAAAGCGCTTAACAAACATACAGTAGCTAGCCATGGCATTTCTGATACAGTGTGTCAACCGACCAGTGATATCTCAGGCATCAAGCATTCAGCTTTCATCAAAATTCTGAAACCAAACAGCCCCTGTCCTATCTCTTGTATGATGTAGTGGTTATATGTGCTTTCAGAGCACATATATGCTGACCTGCTAAAGTCACCATCATTTTCAGTGTGCTCTTACCTATGTACTTACTCACCACTTTTTCATCCTATTTGACCTGTCAGTGTAGAGAATTCCTGAGCAAACCAAATGGATCCATCACTGTAGTTGCACTGACTGACCTTTGGCAATTGTTTCAGACAGATGTGAAACCTACAAGACAGAAAATTTTAACTGTTATAGTAGGATTTATAGTACTACTCTCCCCAATTTGAAAGTGACCACCCACAAATAACAAGAAATATAATTTAAACACTTTCCAAAGCTTGAACTGCCCTTAAAGCTTTTTTAATGCTTGGTCTGAACCTGATTATGATCCACTTCCCTCCCACTGCCTCTGCAATTAATTCGGAAACAAACAGCTATGAAAAGTGTATTATGCTATAATTGTGACATAAAGCATGCAAAAACGTCTCTAGGTTACGTATGTAACCATGGTTCCCCGAGGGAACGAGACGCTGCGTCGAGATTCGCTTTGGTCCTCTTCGACAAAATAACGGTCCGCAGATCCGTCTTCGGTCTAGAAGACCCCGACTGAGAGCGTCGCCCCCACCCCCGTTCTTTTTGCGGAGGGGTGCGGGTTGCAATGCTCTGTTTTTGTGACTGGCTGTATGAGGAGCTTGATGGCTGGGGCTGCTCCCGCTCAGCAGCCCCATAGGCCTGGGAGCGACGAGGGAGGAACCGTTGAAACGTGAGGAAGATAGATGAAGTGCCTGGCTCTCTCTCCGGGGGGAAGAAACTGCAGTGCGGGCTTCCGAACCCTGAGGGAGAGCTAGCGGGTGAGGACCGAGAAAAGGACGAGCCCGTCTCGGATCCCTCCGCTAAATCCACTTGCGATCCCCATGACAACAAAGCGAATCTCGACGCAGCTCGAGTTCCTGAAGGGGAACGCAAATTATATGTTTGGATGGATTATAAATTGTGATGAATTTCTTTCATACAAGAGCAGAAGCTGGTTTGCGCTCTGCTGGATGCGCTTTTATACTTTCTGGTGCTTATGTCACCCCGCTCGTGACGTCTCGCTACTCCATTGGGCTGATTTGACACATGCTTCAGAACACGGTCACGCAGGGACGTTCCCAAAGCGAATCTCGACGCAGCTCGAGTTCCTGAAGGAGAACGCAAATTATATGTTTGGATGGATTATAAATTGGGATGAATTTCTTTCATACTAATTGCTAACTGTGCCAGAGTTCTTGAATAAATCAAACACTAGACGAGGGGTTTTAAAAACTTTTTATGCCACAGACCTTCAAATATAAATATCCTGTAAAAAATATAAAGCATTTTCATGTATTAATACTGTGAAAAATATAATATCTAGAAATATTTACTTTCTATTAAGTTTCTTTTTGTTTTGTTTTTTCTTCTTTCAGGATAATAATAATAATAATACAATTGTGATCATCATCATTTTTAAAGTATCATTTTTGACACTATTTTTCTCCTAACTGTTTCGAGGAGCCCCTAGCACCCTGTTACAGCCCCATGGGGGTCCCCGGACCCATCTTTTTAAAACCCCTTCCCTTGACAACTCTTTTAAATGGGCTTGGATGTGGTTTGCTATGGCACAGACAAGCCTGGAAAACCGCTTTCACAATAACCAAATGAACCGAACTTTGACATCAACTCTTGTCGGCACCAAAAGTTCTGATGTGATTGTGAAAGCGCCCTGATTGCTGCATTACCTGCATTACTTAAACAGTAAATCTGTTTAAGTGTGTTGTAGTTAAAACTTTGGAGGCAGAAGGCAGATTATCAGAATTCTCTCTTTGTGCTGCATCTCACGTACTTCATATTAAATATGAATATGAAAACAAACAAAAAAATAATTAACGTTTTTTGGCCGGTCCATATGCCAGTTAGAGAAACCGTCTCGCTCATGAGGTTTGGCTGTTTGACATTTATGGGCCAGTATGGCATGATGCCTATTAGAAGTGAACAGTGAGTCATGCCAATCCACATTCACAGTCCTGAAATGCATAAGAATTCATGAAAGTCATGAAAGGATTTGTCGTCTTCTGTTCACTGACAGATCAGACCATATTTATAGTTAATTATGAAAAAGTGTACATTCAGAATTTGCCAGTTTATGTACCATTTTCTGTGACGATCTAAAAGAATGTGTCTTGAAAGTGAAGTAAACAAAAATAAATATTATATTCTGTAATATGGGCCTTAGATGATTTATATGAAGCCTTTGAACTTTCAAATTCAACGTTTCTACATTTAATCAATGCAGTTTGAGCTTATTGTACGTACCTCATATGTAATCAATAAAGAGTAGAGATTCAAGCTGCAGCACTAACAAGTGATGTCAAGGTGATATGTCCTCAGACTCTTGGCATAGAGTTCCCACTTCAAAAGCTTGCTCAGCCGTGCTAATATTGAGATATCACTGATGCTGTAAACCTGGAGTTTGCTGCACTGTTGAGTTGGCGCCAGAGTTCACAAGTTCACCTGTCGCTTCCTGTGTTTTTTCACATTGGTATTGGAATATTGGTATTGGTATTGGAATAAGGGTGCTGGGCTCTTCTGCAGCTGAAGTCTTCATATGCTGTGAACTGGTTAGTTGCAGACACTTTTATCCTAAGTGACGTAATACAACGTTGCAAACGAGTAAACTGTTTAGCATTTTATGAGGTTTCTACATGTCGCAAGAAAACAGGAAGTGTACATAGTGAACAATTAAATTAACTAAATGTAGTTGAGTAAGAATAAAAAAAGTTATTGTGATTGCTTTGATTAACCACAGAAAAAAAGGACTTGATGAACATGGGTTAACACAACCTTTTTTTTTTTTTTAGCTGTTGGGTTACACTCACACACACACACACACACACAGTGTCAAGAATAAGTTTGAAAATATCTTGATTTTTGCATTAAAATGTGGCCTGATCTTTATATAACTTACAATTACATACTAAACTAATAACACGCAAATATACTTGTACATTTTTACAATAGGAAAGTAAGTAAAACCTTTAATAACTTGTATTTTCTTGAATACATTCACAGCAGAATGGAGAAAGTACATCAAACCCGGAATTTAGTAACTTGTGGATCCTCCTTTAGCAGCAAAATCTTCACTACATGTTTTCTGTAGCTGCTTAAAAGACTTTTGAACAATTTTGGACCATCCCTCCCCACAAATGTTTCACTTTATCAATATGTCTGGGTTGATAGTACAGCCTTCTTTAGGTTATGCCACAGCGTCTTGTTCACCCTAAAGTTGACCCTATACAGGATTCAATGCATTTGTTATTGATGCAAGCCATTTGAAAGGCCATGGATTGCATAAATCAGGCTGAATCAGTTTATCGCAAGTTACCATAAAACCCCCATAGCTTTCTACAGCTTTATTCTTTAAAAACCATCCAGCACTAACTGCGAGTGGTTTTTTTCATGCTTCCTTTGACCCTGGTGCACCCTCCCAGTTTGGCAAAATCAGGTTTAAGATCTTGCTGGGAACTGGCTTCACAAAATCAACCTAATCATAGCCATTGTGTTTATGAATTGGTCTTTATGCGTGTTCCAGTGTTACAAACAGCCGAAATACAGCCTGATTTTGTCTTCAAGCCTAGAGAATTAGATTTGAGCTTCATTTAGATCTTAGTTCTAGTAAAGATCAAGGAAAAAACAAAAAAAAGAGAGAAAAAGAGAAAGTGTCTACAAACGAAATGTAGCATTAAATGCCTCTTATTTGTTTTCTTTTGTCTGCAGATTACAGTGACAGAATCCGTGCTCTTCTTGCTGCAGTATGTCTCAGAGGATCTGGACAACCGAGAGAAGATCATTGTGATGGGCGACTGTTGTTATCTCAACCCTCTGGTCCGAAGGACATTTCGCTTTCTTGGTATGTCTTCACAGATGGAACGCACTAATTAGGGCAAATGTAGATTTAGACTTTTTCCTTTCCTTGTGCATCAGAAGAAAGGAAAATCGAGATGTCAAACGCACATACAGTACTTGCGAGTTTCTTGTGTGGGACAGACGATACACTCATGGTTCATGTCAAAGCATTCTCTTAAATTATTTATATTTCTTTTGCAGAGAAGAGTTGAAGGGGATAAGTATGGGATGTTCCTTGCCATGAAATCAGACCAGAAGGGAAGAGTAACCACAATTAGTGTCTTCATAATCAGGGCCCCCGGAACTCAATTTCTTACCAAATCAATAAAACAGGTGTTACATTTACTTTCTTTTTTAACCATTTAAACCCGAGGTGTCCCGCCCCACGAAAAAAAAAAATCATAATCAAATTACTAAGCAACCACTGAATGGAATAATACAAAATAGGTACCATTTTAAAGCTTAGAAACTCAATTAATGTATTTAATTGTTTTTCCTATTAGCTTGTAACTTTATGAAACATGCATAGAATTTGAAAAATGGCACAGTATTATTTTCAGAAAACTCTCCCAATTAAACAGCGCCCAAATGCAACAATACGTTGATTAGAAGATATTCCTCATAGAGCTATAACACATAAAACCAGACAGGTGCAAGCAGAGCCGATCCTCCCTATAGGCAAAGTAAAAGTAAAATAAACATTTTGAAAAGTAATTGAATGCTAGTCGGTATCTGTGCATTCAGTGACAGCATCCTACTGTATAAACCTGCTGCTGTCTGTCATCATCTGTTAATCAAACAACAAAAGAAAATGAGAGAATTATTCACTGAATACTGTATAATTTTATGAACCCCCACCCCCCGGCAAAGTTTTGCTTGGGGCCTTTTTTAAATAAAAATAAATAAATAAATACAACACACACACACAAAACACTATACCTTTCATGTGGCGTTTTCTTTCGTAACTTCATAAAACAGGCTTCGATCGTGGAAAATAGCACATCATTATTTACAGCAGATTCTCACGATTGAAATGAGTACAAAATAATCAAATAATCAAAATAGTCAAAATAATCCATTGCGTCTTTCGTGTGTAAATAATACCTAAACCCATGATTTGAATAAATCAGTTGGAGAGCTTTATTGAACACTTGGCAAGTAAAATGTAATAGCCAGCATGTTTCTGTCTATTCTATCTTTTATATAGAAGGTGTATAGAAGTAGGTTAAGAGTTTTTTATAGGAATTCTTTTCTGTGCATCTTCTATTGATCATGGCAGCCATTATTTGTCAAATGATTGAGAAGAACATTATACATTACACAGTGAAACAATTTTTAAAATTAAAAGATTTGTTTCATATGTTGACAATTTATACAAGCTAATCTGTTATTACTCATGCATACAAATTACATGGTGCATGTATAATACTAGCTAACAACAATAGTTTAACATAAACAGTTACCAAAAGTGAGTTCAGAAGTGTACACTGGATTTTTGTCTTTTATGACTAGTCCCACAATGTTCTGAGATGTTCCAGAAAGCACTAGAACATTAGAGAATATTCCAAAATGTTACAGAAATGTACAGAATGTTCCCATCCTTGCAAAAGCATAATATCTTAAAAAAAAAACAAATCAGTACAAAAAATTGTCTGTACTAATCCAATGTTTCATAACTAATGACAGAAGTTCTAAAATTTGCCTGACCTAAATATTTACCAAAATATTGATGCTACGTAAAAATAAACAGTGCAATAATGATTAACACTTAATTAACAAAAATGTAAGTGAAACAATTTTTTGTTACATTGTGTTATACATGTTAAAGAACTGATTCACTTGTCTGAATTGCAGTGGTGAAGCTATATTAGCAATAACCTAACCCACAAAAAGATTAATTAAAAAAAAAACCCAGCATCCTTAGCATGAACCCTTAATGGGATCATCCTGAAACAAACAGTGTAATTGTACTAATGCAGTAGGTGTTAGAGAGATGTTGTATAGTTTTTGCATTATTCCAGCACAGTACATTACTGTCTTGTCTGTTGCTGCTCCTCTCACTTCCTATGTAAGCATGCAATCATGTAGTTTTACGAACCATATGACTACACTTGAATTTTGTCGTGAGAACATCTCGGCCGAAATTCAGTGCTGTGCCACATTAGATTGCTGGTTAAAAATGGAGTCCTCTGGAGCATAATGAATACGTTTGTTAATGTGGGGGCCGATGGAGGAGCTGTGAGTAAACTGACAGCGGTACTGCTCATTGTAAACTAGTTTAACTCGGCTGCTTCTCCAAGCTCCGCTCATAGAAAACATTCAATGTGACAAAGCTGCCCAGGCTTACATTAAGATTTGAGTCCCATTCTGCTTTCATGCCTAATATTCTGGTTGTAAAAAAGATGTAGACTCACCCGGCACTGAATGGGCTGTCATTTTCCATGATGTGATTACAGTTTGGCATCACTGAGGTTTTCAGGATTAGTTTCCTTTATTTTAAAGAATAGGCATTACATTAATTATGAAGAAAATGATGTGCAATTAATCATCCCACTTGACCAGTATGCAAACATACCGTTCAAAACATTTGAGGTCAGTATGACACATTATATACAAAAGTGACATTTATAATGTTACAAAATATTTATATTTCATATAATTCTTGTTTTTTTAAACTTTCTATTCATCCTGAAAAATAATCCAGAAAAAAAGTGTATCACGATTCCCACAAAAATATTAAGCAGCACAACTGTTTTCAATACTGATAATAATAAGAAATGTTTCTTGAGCACCAAATCAGCATATTAGAATGATTTCTGAAGGATCATGTGACACTGAAGACTGGAGTAATGGCTGCTGAAAATTCAGCTTTGCCCTCAGAAGAATGAAATACATTCTGAAATATATTAAAATAGAAAATAATTATTTTGAATGGTCATAATATTTCACAATATTGCTGTGTTTACTGCATTTTCGATCAAATAAATGCAGCCTTGATGAGCATATAGGACTTCAAAAACATAAAATCTTAAATTCTTAATTGTCTAAATATTAAAATCTCAATTCCATATGTAAGACTGAAATCCTAGATTTGTGTCTTTGTGTTCCTCCAGGTGTGTATGCATTTGGCCTCTTTGCCACAGATATCTTTGTAAATGCCGGGCAGGTGGTTACGGGAAATCTGTCTCCATACTTCCTGACGGTGTGCAAACCCAACTACACTGCGCTGGGGTGCCAACAGGTGGTGCGTTTCATCAACCAACAGGAAGCATGCACAGGCAACGAGGATGATATCTTACACGCTCGCAAATCCTTCCCATCCAAAGAGGCGGCCATCAGTGTTTATGCGGCTCTTTATGTTGCTGTGAGTAAACTTGACAAATACATATAACAAAAGAAAGAGATGAGTCAAACTCTGTGGTTTCTGATTCATTCTAATTCATTTTGTAGTCTAAACAATAAAAAAAATTAATTAAATGCAAACATGGTCCAAAGCTATATGCTTTGTGGTTTGAAATCTTGCAATTTATGAAGGCTGCTTATGCACAAGTTAATCAGGAGAGAGAGAAAAAAACAGCCTGTACTGCAAATAAGGGTCAGACAGAAGGTGGAAAAAGATTATTTAAAACTAAATTATGACACAAAAAGCTAATCTAACATTATAAGTAGAACCCAGAGAAAAATCAAACAATAATTAAATAGCTTGATGTAATATGATATGATGTTTAAAATAAATAATATAATAAGACCCCTTTGTAAAGCATGCATGGCTTTTGCAAGTGGTGATGGGTAGACTTTATAAAAGTACAGTATATTTAATGCCTGAGGGCATTGTGTCCTTCTTGATATTTAGTCTGTACATTACTAATTATTCAAACTGACATTGTGATTATGCTTATCTTGTAAAATTGTTGTCCAATTTATGATTTTAGAAAGAGCATAAAAGGATTTTGCTCCAACACTGCTTCAAATTCTGATGAGAGAAGCCTTTTATCCATGCTGTGGTATTGATCCAGGCATGAATTAGGCTTCATAACATGTTTTTTTTTTTCAAAAATGGTACCACTTTTTATAAGCATAAAAAGCCGTTTTCCATTTATTCCTGAAGTCCAAGGGCTTCAAGGTCTGTCCCATCTACATAGCACTCATTTTGGACACAGAAAATAGATTGATCATGTAAACATCTGAGGTGATCTGTATGATTTAATACAGGGGTGTCCAATCCTGCTCCTGAAGGGCCACTGTCCTGCAGCTCCAACCCCAGTTAAACATTCCTGTATCTCCTAATCAAGGTCTTCAGGATTACTAACTAACTTCCAGGCAGGTATATTGGAGCTAAACTCTGTAGCGCATTGGACCTAAAGAAGCAGGATATAGCAGCCACCAAATACACAAAATAATGATCTTTAAAATAGCATCATATGACCCCTTTAATGCAATCCAAAGCTTTGTAGAAATGCATCTAAAAAGTCATACAAAGTCAGATCCATTAGACATTAGGCAATGTCACGAGTTAATGTACACAGCATTTTGTCCAATGCCAGAAATGTCTGTAGCAAGACATGGAAATAAATAAATAAATAAATAAGAATCATGTAAGTACATATTTCTCCTAGCAACCTTGAAACCTTAATCATGCCAATCAAATTAATTACTCAGCATGACTCCAGTTATTCAATAAATCATAAATGATTTACATTCAGAATAGGCATGTTTTAATGCTAACAGCCTCAAGGCAGATGGTAAACAGTCCAAACTGGTCTTCTAGGAGATTATTTGGTTCCAATGACAATAATAAAATGAATAACTTCCTTATAGACCGATTTTGTTTTTCATCTGTCCTATGCAAATATCATTGTGTCACAGAGTTAGAGGTTAGGAGGAGAATCAATAGATCCAGCATGCCTAAGGGCTGCTCTATTACTTAATTACCTCATTATGCCTGTGATGGAATATCAAATTGGCACTTCACCTGAAAATCATAATTCTGTCACTATTTAATCATGCACCCTTGTTCCAATCCCATTTCCTGTTATCTTTGTCCAGTGTAGCACAAAAGTACAAATTTAAAAGCTCTAAAATATGTCAGAACACTGACAGTTTGCATCTAGCTCACATTGAGGTCAGATAAAAAAAATAAAAAAAGTTAAATGAAACAAATCTTCATATCTGCTTTTTTGGTTAAAAAAATGTGAGTTTTCAATTAGATAAGAATGAGTAAGTAATGTCAGGGTTTCTGCAGGTCTTAAAAAGGTCAGGCATTTTTTGTTTGAATATGAGATGATGTTTGAAGAAATTTGTTTGAAGATGAGAATATTTTCTTTACTTGGTCTAAAAAAAAAGAGGTCTTAAAAAGTCTTAAATTTACCATCATAAACTCTGCAGAAACCCTGGTAATGTTTACACATTGGTTATATATTTGAATTTTGAAATTATTATGACATGATATCGGATATTTAATTGCACATGCTTACACTTAATTATACATTTAGATTATCTTTGTCATCATCTAACGCTCACTTAAAGTTAATGTTTAAAACATCACTAATAATGTAATAAAACTGTTAAATGTAATCTTGAGCAAATCTAAATAGGCTATCCATTTTCCATACTGTACATTATAAAGTTGTGAAGCCTAAATCCAGGGTGTGAACTACGGGGGAGCTAGGGGGAGCTCGGCTCCCCTTAATAAGACATGGGCTCCCCTGAAAACGGGATTTGTGAAATTTTGGGGGGTCTCAAAAAATATTGACAATGTGTTATTTTGACGTGCAATTTCAGTTTTGTGTAATGTGATCATCGTGGATTATTATGTGTAAAATTACAAAAATATCATTCATTCATGCATGACGGCGATTTAAACCTAATTCACTTCAGTAAAGATAACTATACATCCTATTCTTGTCATGAGCTTCAAGGTGTGGGGGCGCTGCGGTGCAAATTCCACTCATGTTTAGTACGTTAACTCAAAGATTCGTAGAAAAAATATAAACGTTGGACTCTGTGGTCGATTCTGTGTTAAGGTAAGGCATGTTATTCGCAATTATGTGTTGTGGCTGGGTTGTTATAGGTCTGCGTGACTCTCGATGTCTTAGGCCATTTGAACGGAGGAATTATATGGTATTCTTCTGTAGCCTGATGACGAGTAACTTTAACCGTGTTCATGTGAACTCAAAGACAGCCTGATGCTTGGTTTATAGACTATTTGTGGGTGGCTGTTTGTTGTTTCACCTATCAATTCGTGTCGATAAAGTATAATAGGGTAAATCCTGTATAGTGATTTATCCTATATAGTGCTTGCATAAAGCAAGTAGTGCATACACTTGTAGCTGTTATGTATCTTTGTAAGTCATTGTAAGCCCTCTTTTGAGGCATGTGCAAGCGCACGAACCCCCCTCCCTCCTCCGTTATAAAAAAACAAAACAATTGGGCTCCCCCAAAGTCCACGGTATAGTTCGAACACTGCCTAAATCACTTGCAACATTTCAAATGATTGACTTAAGTTTGAGTTTTTAGTGTCGGCCATTTATCGTTAATTGGCCATAACATGGAAAGAATTATCAGCTTATCGCATTGGTCAGAATTTTAATCAGTGTATCCCTAGACCTATAAAATGTGAGCTTCCTCAGGACAATTAAAAGGAAGCTTGGTAGAATGAAAAGGACATCGGTCTGAATGTTGCTGGTGCTCCTTGCTCAAGAAATTAATAGTTGTACCCCCACCTTCCCTCTTTTCCCCAAGGCTTGGTTCAGGACAAAAGCAAAGCAGCTTGCCTTCAAATACCACCAGACTTGCCTTCAAATGCCACCCTTCCAGTCAGTGCCAATGTCTTGGATAAATGAAACGATGTAGTTGAACCATGGATATTTATTTCATTTGCAATGCACCTGCAACAGCATTAGACACATTCAAATGTTTACATACACTGATCAGAGTAATTGGTGCATGTTAGTGTGCAGTTTATTATTGTGAAAGCCACTGTTTAAATGGTCAAACTGAACCCTGTGTTTTCAGACAAACATCCCCACACGTGAGCAGGGAATGAATGAGCTATGAAAAGCATTTACACAGCTGTTAGGATGAAGATGTATTACAGAGTGCTCTGTTTTTCCTCAGATGTACATCACATGCTCGGTGAAGGCCAAAGGGACACGGCTGGCCAAGCCGGTGCTCTCTCTGGGGCTCATTTGTCTGGCCTTACTAACTGGGATTAATCGAGTGGTGGAGTACCGCAACCACTGGTCTGATGTCATTTCTGGCTTCATCATCGGAGGAGCCATTGCTGTTTTTATGGTGAGGTCACTTCTGACACACTAATAGTAAAGGTTCAAATGCAGTTCATATGCATACTTACATGAAGATGCATACTTGTTGATTCATTCAGTTGTTGATCTTATTTAATTTTTACATATGTGAATACTGAGTGATTTTAATGAACTGTTTGTGGTTATTTTGTGAGGATGCTTTTAATGATATAATGTTTCGTTATAGCAATACAGACTATGTATTAGACTATACATTATCGTTCAAAAGTTTGGGGTGGGTACAATTTTTTGAAATATTTTTGGAAGAAGTCTCTTATGGCTGCATTTATTTGACCAAAAATACAGTAAAAACAGGAATATTGTGAAATATTATTACAATTTAAAATAACTGTTTTCTATATTAATTTATTTTAAAATGTAATGTATTCCTGTGATGGCAAAGTTTAATTTTTAGCAGTCATTACTGCAGTCTTCAGTATCACACGATCCTTCAGAAATCATTCTGGGCACACTGTTGTGTAAAGAATGCACAGTGAAGATGAGAAACCCATTGTGAGCGTTAGAGAAGGGTCACACATCAGCTCATGCCTGCTTGCCTCACATTAGGCATAACAGCATTGTGAGTGAGTTTGTGGAAGCATGGATATTTTATTTTCTGTGGTGCTGTAGTCATACCGTACAAGATGTGCACTGACCTATTTCTGCTGTTTGGGTGGGTTGGGGGAGGGGGTGCAGGGAGGAAGGTGAATATAGCCATCAAACTCATGGTCAGATCAAATCTTATAATGCATCACATCATCAGGATGCAGTAAAAGGGAACAACAGTTTGTGCTTAAGTAAATGTATAGCAATACCCTTGCAAATGTCTGTCTCTCGAATACTTTAGCTTTTAATGTTGGTCTAGTGTACGCTTTACAATAAGGTTCACAAATTCCCTTTATACAGTGGGTATAAGAAAAGAAGCTTTAAAATTTTTTAGCAGTCATTACTGCAGTCTTCAGTATCACACGATCCTTCAGAAATCATTCTAATATGCTGATTTTGTGCTCAAGAAACATTTATTATTATTATTATCAATGTTGAAAGTTGTGCTGCTTAATATTCTTGTAGGAACCGTTTTCGGGATTCTTTGATGAATTAAAAGTTCAAAAGAACAGCATTTATTTGAAATAGAATGTTTGTTTAACAGTGAAAGTCTTTACTGTCACTTTTGATCAATTTATCACATCCAAGCTGAATAAAAGTATGAATTATTATTATTATTATTTTAAAAAGTACTGACCCCAAACTTTTAAACAGTAGTGTGTGTAACATGGGTAATGTATAGTATTATACAACATTGTTCCTTTTGAGTTTTCTCATTTTGTGATTCATAAAACATGCAAACGAAGTTATATAAAGGTTATATAAAATGATATGCACAAATCTAAGTGCTTATGAAATCATCAATGATGAGACACACTAAAATTTCTAAGCGATGTTGGGGAAGTGGGGAACATCAAAAAGTTTGAAAACACCTGATTTAGACAAATTATACATACCAAACCTCATAGTACTGAATAACAATAACAATAATAGCAGTGGTATAAGAAAAATACAAGTTAAAATTTTCTGTTTAAATGCCTCATAGACTTGAAAGTGCCTTACTGTACATATTATTTATGGTACACATCGCATGTTTACAGGGAGTTTGGAGGGATCTGCGGCACTGAGTTGTCTTCAAGCCATCTTAAATTTAAAGAAGCCACATAGAAGCAAACTGCTGATCTCATGCTGATTTGACGTTTGCCCTTCACACAAAAGATGTATTTGTCAGTAAATACAAGAAATACATAGAAAACTATATATGTGTTATTTATACGGGGGGGCATAATTCATGAAGTAAAGTTTTACAATCAAGAAGAAATGTGACATATGGATAGGTAATTAGGTCAGGCCACAGAATAGGGCACATGTGTAGCTTCCTCTTCAATAAAACACTACAGTTTGTGCTGTGGTGGGCACACTGTTGTGTAAAGAATGCACAGTGAAGATGAGAAACCCATTGTGAGCGTTAGAGAAGGGTCACACATCAGCTCATGCCTGCTTGCCTCACATTAGGCATAACAGCATTGTGAGTGAGTTTGTGGAAGCATGGATATTTTATTTTCTGTGGTGCTGTAGTCATACCGTACAAGATGTGCACTGACCTATTTCTGCTGTTTGGGTGGGTTGGGGGAGGGGGTGCAGGGAGGAAGGTGAATATAGCCATCAAACTCATGGTCAGATCAAATCTTATAATGCATCACATCATCAGGATGCAGTAAAAGGGAACAACAGTTTGTGCTTAAGTAAATGTATAGCAATACCCTTGCAAATGTCTGTCTCTCGAATACTTTAGCTTTTAATGTTGGTCTAGTGTACGCTTTACAATAAGGTTCACAAATTCCCTTTATACAGTGGGTATAAGAAAAGAAGCTTTAAAATAATTTCTGGCAGAGGGCAGCAGATTTTCCTCAAGAATTTGATGGTATTTTGCCCCATCCATTTTTCCTTCTATCCTGACAAGTGCTCCAGTCCCTGCTGCAGAGAAACCACCTCTGTGCTTTACTGGAGGAATGCTGTTATTTGGATGGTGAGCTGTATTTGATTTATTTCCGCCAGACATATCTTTTGGTGTTGAGGCCAAATAGCCTAATTAACTTTTAGTCTCATCTGCTTCAGAATCTTCAAGGTGCGTTTTAGCAAAGCTCAGTCATGAGCATGTGGCCTTTCTTGAGGAGTGGCTTTTTTCTTGCAACCCTCCCATACAAGCCACATTTGTGGAGAATTTGTGATTGTTGTCACATGCACACAATGACCACTCTTTCTCATATATTCCTGCAACCGCTTCAGAGTTGCTGTAGGCCTCTTTGACCAGTTTCCTCGTGGCTCTTTAATCC